TTTTTTGTGTGTGTTTTTTCTTTTAATTTGTCCCGAGTCATACTACTGTTAAGTGCCAGAGTGGTAACTCAGATCCAGACTGTTTTATAACTCCCCATATGTATGCTAAAGTAATAAACTGTACTGAGTTTGGAGGTAGGAGGAAAGCTAGCAAGAGGAGGTCTACAGTCAGAAAGCACAGTGCCAGGTTCCCAGATCAATGTGACAGGTACACAGTGCAGGTAAACTAGTTAGACAAATGAGCAACCAAAAGTCTGAGTTCTAGCCCATAGATCAGTTTGCTCTCAAAATTTTGTCTCTGAGAGTGCCTGCCAAAAATGTGACTTTAAATATAAAACCAACAAAATGAAATCATTTCTTGGAAAACATTTCTGTGGTTTACTGTGGAATGCCAAGTTAAGAATATCTGTCTTACATTTTCAAGCACATGTGTTGTAGTAATTTTATGGGGTAATGAGTTGGCTTCCATTAAAGATATTTTTACAGGGGCTGGGGCTGGAGAAATGTTATGTGGCAGGCAGTGAAATATCTTACTTTTTTCAGATTGCTTTGGCTAATCACCTACAGGTGAATTTTCTAGGAACTGTGCTTTTAACCATTTAACTGCTATGAATTTTACTGGGTTGTGACTGAAGACTTTGGACATAATGTCAGGGGACCAAATGGTGAGGGAAGGAGGAGTTCAGGATATGAGGAAAACGATGAGTATAACAGAAGAAATGTGGGACTTTTGTCTCAACTTTAAAACTTGAATGGGACTTAAAGTCCATTCATGGGATTCAATAAAAAACAATTCAAGATGTGACAATAGCTAATTAGTGGAGGCAGTTGTCCTCTATCAAAGTAAGCAGAAATCTCACTTCCCAGTTTTCCACATGACAGATGTTGCTAGTTACCTACCCAATATCTATTTTCTCCTTCTTCTTTACTAATAGAAGCAAAATGTTGCTACTGAAAGATTCTATTCCCCAGATTATTTTTCAACTAGAGGTGACCATGTGACACCATTATTACCAAAAAGATATAGGTGGAAATTGGCTGAGGATTTCTGGAAAGATAGCTCCTTGCCAGTCCTCCTAAGTGATGGCCAAGAAGAGCATCAGCAACCATTGGTTAGGCAAGAGAAATGAGTTATGATGGTGGTACAGACCCAGTCCTCCTAAGTGGTGGCCAAGAGCATCAGCAACCATCGGTTAGGCAAGAGAAATGAGTTATGATGGTGGTACAGAAAGACACAGATTTTTTATTCTGTGTAAGTTGATGCTGATACTCTGGACTGCTTAGGAAAAGCATTCTTGTGTTCTGAAAAATAAATACATATTTTTGATATGTAAGCATTTGCCTACTTCTGAGGCTGAGGAATATACTCTCACTGTGCTTTTTCCTCTTACCTACTCCCTCCAGTGGCTCCAAGTTTTAGAGCTGACATATTCCCACCTATTAGTGATAGAACCAAGGGGGTAGGGTCACATGTCATTCCATTCATTGTAGCCGTTATTCTTGAATAGGGGAAACCATTCTTGGTTTATGTGAGAAAGACGAAGGGCTGTGACCCAAGATGAGATCAGTTACAACAACCTGTTTGAATTTCAACATAAACATAATAGTCAGTGGAATAAAAGAATCTATTGTGCATCCTACCAGGAAGGTCAAGTGAATATGAAAGAGCTTGGTGCCTGGAGGTCACTGGTTTGATTCCTAGTCAGGATACATGCCCAGGTTGCAGGCTCGATCCCCAGTAGGGGGCATGCAGGAGGCAGCTGATCAGTGTTGACACTGATGTTTTTATCTCTCTCTCTCCCTCACCCTTTCTTTCTCTCTAAAATCAATAAAAATATATTTTAAAAAAAGAAAGCTTTTTTTTCTCATATCCTTGCCTAATAGTGGGATATGAAAAATGTTACCCATGAGGTGCCTGGGTGACAAATTTGTAAAAGGCTGGTGTCAGCTTTCAGCATTCTAGGACTAAAATGCAGCCCATCTGGGTAGAATTTCTCTGAGGCTAAATACCAGTAGGACATGAGATATTTGATCAGTAAGTGCTGTTAAGGAAATTTTAAAGAACTTTGAAGGGTGCATTCAAGAGTTACCTGAGAGTTAAATGGGTGCAATTTATGTAATTTGTCTGATGTTACTAAGAAGAAACAGCTTGATGCTGGAAGACAGCGTGTTAAGTATGGGAGATTAGAAAAATTTTTGATGGCACCATTGCACTTAAACTAACACCACCCTTTGGCTTCTTTTTGTATGAGCCAAATAAATCATTTACTTTTTGAAGCTACTGTTTGTTGGGCATTATATTTGCAGCTAAACTTATTGCACACTGACACATTCCCTCTTCTCTCTGCCCCATAGATATCTGATAAGTCAGAGAAACACATCTGGGTTAAAGACAGACCTTGGGATAGAAGAATTTGACTATGATTATCTTGGCCTCTATGATGTCTACTTTATGTATATGTTTTATTTTGTTTTTGTCCAGAAATGCTTAGGCTCATTATATTTAAACTAGAGGCCCAGTACACAAATTCATGCACCAGTGGGGTCCCTAGGCCTGGCCTGTGGGATTGGGCTGAAACCAGCTTTCCGACATCCCCCAAGGGGTCCTGGATTGCAAGAGTGCGCAGGCTAGGCCAAGGGACCCCACTGGTGCATGATTGGGGCTGGGGAGGGATGCAGGAGGTTGGCCAGCTCGGGCCTGTCTTGCTCAGTCCCGATCAGCCAGACCCCAGCAGCTAGCTAACCTACCAGTCAGAGCGTCTGCCCCCTGGTGGTCAGTGCACATCATAGCAACTGGTTGACCAGTTGACTGTCTGCCCCCTGGTGGTCAGTGCACATCACAGCGAGCAGTTGAGTGGTCTTAGCAAATCATTAGCATATTACGCTTTGATTGGTTGAACAGATGACTGGAAGACTGGGCACTTAGCATATTAGGCTTTTATTATATAGGATGAGTTACATGAATAACAGTTTATTTTTTTTAATTTTTAGTGAATTTGTTGTGGTGACATTAGTTAATAAAATTATATAGGTTTCAGGTGTACAATTCTATAATACATCATTTGTATATTGTATTGTGTGTGCACCAGCCCAGTCAAGTCTCCCTTCATCACTATTTATCCCCCCTTTACCCTTCTTTCCCTCTCACCACTCTCCTTTCCCTCTTGTAATTACCATACTGTTTTCAGTGTCTAAGAGGTGTTTTTATTCTTTGCTTAATCCCTTCACATATTTCACCTAGCCCAGTGGTTCCCAAACTTATTTGGCCTACCGCCCCCTTTCCAGAAAAAATATTACTCAGCCCCTGGAAATTAATTTTTTTTTAATTTTAATAGCAGTTACTCATCGCCCCCAAATGCACCTGTGGCCATCACCGCCCCCCCCCCATCGCTGCAGCGCCCACCGGGGGGCGGTAGCGCCCACTTTGGGAATCACTGACCTAGCCCCTGAGTACCATTCCCCTATGACAGTTGTCAGTCTGTTCTCTGCATCTATGAGTCTGGTTTCTATTTTGTTAGTTTATTTTGTTGATTAGATTCCACATATAAGTGAAATCACATGGTACTTGTTTTTCTCTGACTGGCTAATTTTACTGAGCATAAAACTCTCCAGGTCCATCCATGCTCTTTCAGAAGGTAAGATTTTCGTCTTTTTTATGGCCAATTAGTATTCCGTTGTAAAAACCACAGCTTTTTTATCTACTCATCTACTGGTGGGCACTTAAGCTGCTTCCAAATCTTGCCTATTGTGAATAATGCTACAATAACAATTTGAGTCGGCTTGAGATCTTCCTAGGAAAGGTAAAAATTTTGACTTTCTAAAGACAGCTTGAGGAATGCAAGATGTAATGCAGAGGAGAAAGGCAAAGAAAAGAAACAGATGGGCATTGAATACCCAAGATGTGCTCATCATGGTACATGTCAGCATGTCACCTTATTTACTTCTCAGAACTGCTCTTCAGGCATATTTTGTTACAACCATTTTACAGAATCTGAAATCTGAAACTCAAAATAGTAAAATCCCATATTAATAAGTGGCAGAACCAGATTTCATATCCAGATATTCTGACTGGGCATCCAGATTTTGTGTCCTTTGTCCCGGAAGGTGATATTACCTTTTCTATACCAGACAGATATCAAACCTGTCCATTGCTTTGAAAGGAGACACTATCTTTATCTTCCAATGTTCTTTATGATACAGACATCCTTGAAAGGAAAATAGGGAACTAGGGCAGCCAGTGCCTTTGCTTGCAAACAGTGCAAACATAAGAGAGTCCATGGGGCATTATCTCCCAACAGCATTCACCTTTGTCCTCTTCTGCTCTCATTCTGACACCCCTCACCATGGTTCAGTCCACCTTTGTGCTCCTTTATTATCTTAAGGGCCTGGGGCCTTTCAACTTTTTTACTCCTATCATTGAAGAAAAGTTTAAAAACTCATTTTGAGCAATGAAAGGTTTTCATATGATCTTTTCAGGCAACAGAAGCATAAGCATTAATTCATTAGTTCAGTTATGTATTCAGTGCTTATTGTATAGCTACTATAGAGCAGGTACTAAGTGCTTTCATTTTAACCATTCAGACACTAGTGAATGTAAAGAAGTAACAGTATCAAGTAGAGATTTTACTCAGGTGGGGTTTAGTGCTTTTACATTGGATGGTCCAGGAAGACCTCAGTAAAAAGAAAAAAAAAAAGTGAAATTTTGAGCTAAGAACTCATGGATAATGTCCCAAGTAGATCCTGGGAAAGGATCTGGGGTGTTTATCTAAGGTGTCCCTTGAGATAAACTTTAACCGTGCAGGTGTGGGACATTCAAGTAGTTGCTAGTGAAGAGGTTACTCTACGCAAGCAGGACCAAGGAGGCAGGCTTAGGACCAAAAAGAGACCAGAACCTTTCATTTAACTTTTAAGTGTACACAAAATAATTCAATTAATTGCTGGAGGAATTATACCACATGAAACATATGCAGTTGCAAATCACACAGCACTTTATTACTCACACAATTCCTGGTGCTGCGGGTACAGGCTTAAGTGGGATCCCAGTGGTGCTGTCCTCGGGGGGCCGGCAGCTGGTCTGGTCTGGTCTGAATGCAGGGGGCCAGCGTTCCTTGCCCAAGAGCTAGGTCGTGTCTCAATTGGGAGGTACTGACCGTTCTTCTGTCGTCTGGCAGAGAGAGGAGCGTGGAGTGGCGTCGCTTGCCAGACTGACAAGAGGACGTGCCTTTGTGGCTGTCTTGACAAGCGAGCACCAGGCTGGTCGGGATCCCCACTTTTAAAGCCTGTACCCCATTTGCAGCAGTCCAGGTGGTTATCAATGAATTACATCAAGGCACACATGTTTATCTCAAACAGGGCGAGGGGCTACATGAGGTTATCTATGGAGAGTACATCACTCACTCAAGTGGTTATCTTGACAAGTCACTCAGTTATTTTCTGAAGTTCAAATCCTTATCTGTAAGGGACACACACTTCAGGGCAGTGGGGAATGTGTTCTTAATATCACGCTTTAAGTTTCAAGGAAATTTAATTTAAACATTTTTAAAACCTTCTAAGACATTTTTTAGGCATTTTTAAACATTTCTATATATTGCTACAACAGATAAGAAAGAGTCAATTATTAAAATAGCTTGAAAAAATAGCCGGAGAAACCAATCCTAAATCTATTAGGTTGAACCAGGTGAAACTGCTGATGTGCAGTAGTCTCCCCTCATCCTTGGTTCCTCTTTCCAAAGTTTCAGTTTCCTGAGGTCAACCATGGTCTTAAAATATTAAATGGAAAATTCCAGAAATAAACAATTCATAAGTTTTAAAAATGTGAGCTGTTCAGAGTAGCATGATGAAATCTCGCAGGATCCCCTCCAGGATCTGAATCTCTCTTTGTTCAGGTATCCACTGGGCTCCCACCCGCTGGTCACTTCCTAACTATCTTGCATTATCAGATCCAATGTTGCAGAATCACAGAGCTTGTGTTCAAGTCACCCTTATTTACTTCAAAATGGCCCCAAAGTTCAAGAGTAGTGATGCTTGCAATTCGGATATGCCAAAGAGTGCTGGAGGCAAAGACCAACAAGTAGTTAGCATAATAAATTCGAGAGGTCCCTCAGAAGGCTGATGGACCTTGGGGCTTTAGCAAGGGCTAAAAGCTATGCACCGGGCAAATGTATATTCCAGTAAATAAAAAGCCATGGGTCCGGAGATTCAGGGAGCCACTCCACTAGAGAGTAGGTTTCTGCCTGGTTCCCCCAATGCCTTCCAAATTTATATTTCTTGTCTAGTATATCCATTTGCGTGTGGCCCCTTCTCCAGATTCTGAATGCTTGCTGCAAAAGGTTGAGGCAAAAGAGAAGCTGTAAAGTGCTTCCTTTAGGTAAAAAAGTGAAAGTTCTGGATGTAATAAGGAGAGAAAAAAATCATATGCTGAGGCTGCTAAGATCTACGGTAAGAATAAATCTTCTAACCATGAAATGGTGAAGAAGGAAAAAGAAATTCATGTTAGTTTTGCTGTCACACCTCAAATTGCAAAAGTTATGACCACAGTGTGTGAGAAATGCCTTAGTATGTATGTATGTATGTATGTACACATGTGAACATATATACACATATATGCATATAAAGGTAGGGGTGTGTGTGTGTGTGTGTGTGTGTGTGTGTGTATTTCTACTAGTTAGGCTTCTCTGGAGAACCCTGACTAATACATCATGCTAGTGATTTAATAAGTTACTTTTTATTTATTTTTATTTTATGTTTGTTCTTGGTTTGCCCACTGTGTCTAATCAGGACACTGCTTACTGGCAATTGGACTTTGGTTCAGCAACCTTGATACTTGAGTTCTGGCTAAGAAAGAATTCAGAGCCAAGACTCAAATACAGGCAAGAATTTATTTAGAAAATCACAGATATAAAAGAAGTGAGCCCTGGAAGAAGTAAGCCAACTGGGCTGGGAGGGCTCAGGAAATAAGAATCAGAGGCAAAAGAAAGGCCCTTGGAACTTAGGAGAAAGAAAGCAAGGATATATGCCCCTTGGGGAAGGAGCGCATACCTGAGAAGGGGGTAGAAAAGAGCACAGAGTGCTTGAGAAGAGGGGGAGGGGAGCTAATAAATTACTTTTAACAGAAATACTGACATTTAAAAAAACAATGTGGAATTTTCAAAAGCAATATTTTAGGATAGGAATAACCTTTGTAAGGTATCTCTTTGATTATAGAACCTAAAATAAAACTACCACCTCACATAATCAAGAGATTAACTTGAATCTTAGCTCCATAAATAATTGCTGCTCTTTGACAAAGCAACTTAACCTAGCTTAGCTTGGTTTCTTCATCTGTAAAATGGGTATAACAATATCTTAAAGAAATGCTGCAAGGATTAAGCAAACTCATGTATATAAATTTTATAGTATAAGTCTGACACATGCAATTGTTACATAAATAATAATGATTGTTATTATTATCATCCTATATAATAAAAGCCTAATATGCAAATCAACCAAATGGTGGAATGACCAGTCCCTATGACACACACTGACCACCAGGGGGCAGATGCTCAATGCAGGAGCTGCCCCCAGCCCGCAGGCCCCAGGCCAGCCAAGGCGGGTGACAGTGGGGGCCCCCCAATTGCCCCGCCAGTCTCCCCACAGATCGGCCCTGATCACCGCCAGGCCTAGGGACCCTACCTATGCACTAATTTCGTGCACAGGGCCTCTAGTATAGATATAAAGTTGATTCTGTATTAAAATATTCTAATATGCTAGCATGCTCAAAGATTTAAAAGATTAAGCAAAAGTTTGTGAGGCAGTAAAAGGGTACAGGAACTGAAGCTACTTATGTAGATGAGATAGCATTATCTTTTAGGGAAAATACAGAGGCTAAATAGCAGTATTTCTACATCTAGTCAGCATCAACTATAGCAAAAGATCAGTGGCCAGCATAATTGATCATGATGGGACTTGGGGAACTCCTGGCTCAATCATTAAATAAGCTCCATTAGACTGAGTTCCATGAGGGCAGGTGCAGATCATTTATTTCTTTATTCTTAGTGCTTATCATGAGACAGGCATTGACGGGAACACTTTTCACATTCTTGCTCAGAATAACCCTATGAGTTAGACATTATTGTCCCCACTTAATAGATGAGAAGTTTGAAGCAAAATGGGTTAAATGGTTTGTCCGAGGTCAAATGAAGTAAACTGGGAGCCAGGTCTAGGACCAAAGGCCACATTTTGGCCACCAAGATGTACTGCCTCTCATTGTCTGTTAAGTGCATCTATACATGTGGTACAAAAGAGGTTTCTGGGGGAATCTTTTCTGATTGTCATTTTAATCTAACCTTTTTTTTTCCAGAAAGGAGAAGCAAAGAGATTATTAATATTATAAACATTCTCAAAAGTTATCAAACTTAAATTTACCAAATACCTATGTATCCCATCTCAGTGATTTTTAAGCATACAAACTCCTTTGAGAACCGATGGAAACTATGAACAGTCTATATACAAAAGTTCTCTTGCTAATTAGGGGCTTCACAGTCAACCTGCAGGCAGGTTAAGAACGTCCTCAGAAAAAATAAATAAATAAATAAATAAATAAATAAATAAATAAGAAAAACACACACACAAAAAAAATAAGAAAAAAAAAGAGAACGTCCTCAGATATCTCACTCAGTCCTCAGAATAATCCCAAGAAGTAGTATTATTACACCCTTCTACCAATGGAGAAACTAAAACTACAGATTGAAAATAATTTGTTCAATGGGACATCATTGATGCAGAGTAACACCGAAGCTAAACTCAGATGAATCTGGGTCCAAGTTTGATCTATTTAAGTTATACCATGTGGTTTTATATCTAGCTTTTTGTTGTTTTTGTTTTTTTAATGTTCTCTATTACTTGGCATCTGCATTTTTTTCCCCTTGAAATTCAGATAAATTAAAAAGAAAAAGATGTGGTTCCTCTGGTTGTCCTGTGGCAATTATAATTTGAACTTTGAAATCTGGATATAAAAATGAGATGATTAAAAATGTCTGTCTGCTAGGAGTTTTTGGCTTTGGAAAATAATGCCTCATTAGCAAACACAGAAAGACATTCTTACTGCCAGTCTTACTTTGATTTTGCAAACTGGGCACTGGTGTTATGGTTTGATATAGCTCTGGGGTCAAAGAGTTTATGGTAAGTTAATTCAGTTCAGGGTTTGGCCTAAAACACTAATTGGCTTTAGATGCAAAACTATATCCAAATTGTCTGAAATTTTGAGTGGTATGGCACAAATAAAAAAGTACAATTAAGTTCCTAGTATTATGCTGGAAATGACTTCTGGCTTGGGAAGTGGTCCCAGGTCCAAAAGGATTGCGAAGACTTTAGGCTTTGAGAAATTATTATAGTGACATAACCATTGCTGCAGTTGCTTGAAAGATTCTAATTGAAATGAGAAATCAGTCAAAGAACAAAGAACAGCTCATTGTTTATTGTTTTTCCCATAAGGGAAAAAGTCTAAAAGCAAAATTCATAAATGAATGCAATCATTGACATGCAATTCAAAACTAATTGACATCTTATCTATAGTATCATTTCTATTGTAGCTTTGATCTTTAATAAAAATGAGAATTGTGCACTGTATTTCACTCCCAATTGACCATGGGGGTGGGGTGTGTGCGTATCAAGTTTTGAAAGAAATTAGCTTTGTGGTCTTGAATCAAAACCAGTGATGAACACGGATTCCAAATAACAAAGCTTTTCCATAATAGAAAGTCTGACTGTTTGACTTCTTTTGAGAGCCAAGGTCTCAAGATAAATAGCTCATTTCAAAGTATTTTATTTTTTAAAAAATTTATCTTTATGATTGAAAGTATTACAGATGTCCTACATTTTCCCCCCATTGATCCTCTCCACCCCGCACCCACCCCTCCCAGGCCTTCACCACACTATTGTCTGTGTCCATGGGCTTTGCTGATATGCATGTAAGTTCCCCAGTTAATCTCTCCCCACTCCCCTACCACCACCTTCCCGCTGAGATTCTTCAGTCTGTTCCATGCTTCTATGTCTCTGGATCTATTTTTTCCATCAGTTTATTTTATTCAAAGTACTTTTTTGTAATGTACTTGTAAAATAAACATGTCATTTCCAAGAAGAAATGTGACATATGAGGAAAGTGCTGGAATTCATGGGCCAGCTCTGCTGTGAATCCTACACTATTTCTTTCCTGAAATGTTTTTTCTTCTCATAGCTTTATTGAGGTATAATTTACATAACATAAAATGTACTCAGTGTAAATATACAACTTAATGACTGTTAGTACATTTACAGAGTTGTGCAACCGTCGCCATACTCGTTTTTAAAACATTTCTA